AATACAAGAAATGAGGGAATTGGGGTGTAATGCTCCTATCCAACAAATCCCACTAAGTCCCAATTTTAAGAATATTAAACAATTTGAGCACAATGCCATTAAATGAATCAATTTAATCTCACCAGAATCAATTTCTAATTAAATTTCACCATAGGCTCTAAAAATTATGCTAATCACAAAGGCGTAGTCAATTTTGGGTTCTGTGGCCGATAGGGCCCTCAATTTAATTCCCAAGGCAGATTATTCAATAGATATTCCTACGGTGAACAGATAGAACTCCAAAACCACATATTTTCGCATAATGGAACACAAAATCATATCAAAACACATAATCACATCATGTTAAGGACTAATTGACATATTACGGAACAGGGGTATTATAGATATTGCCTCCCTCAATTCCTTATTTTCAGTTGTCAACTTATGTATTTCATCATTCTTCACCTTCAACACACACCCGAACCCGTCAACAATGTTGACAGCTTGTATCTCTAATTTCTTACTCAAACTTTCAACTTCTTCCTCCAGTTTTGCTATTGCAACATCTTTGTTTTTGTTTTGCATTTTGAGTGGTGCATTTGCATTCAATGCTTCCTCTAACGCTGTTGCACAACCAACATCTCCCTTCAACGAATGTAATTCGCCATGCGCATCACCATCCTGCCCCCTCGTTGCAGTCCCCATCGCACACCTCACGCCAACCCCATTACCACTACCACAAACAACATCCTCCGACAACCCTACATTTCCCTCATTCAAGCCCTCATTTTTCCCACTTTTCACTACTTCAACTTCACCACAAACAGGACCATTGTTTAAAGTAATGTCATCTATTTATTCTTTATCCCCAGACTGTACTTCAATGTCTGTTGCCAACATGTCATGCTCAAACTTCAACGACCTCAACCGGTCGACACCTACCTGTCCAGATCATACCACACATAAATATAAATTACAACCCAAAATAAAAATATACAACCCAATACATGTACATGCACACAAACAATAAGTAATAACTGCAACGTTCACATCCACACATACACCCCCCCAACACACCACTAATCACCAATCAACGTTTCAACTACGTATTACGTACCTCGAATTTGCCTGGTGCAGCAAAATCAAAACCCCGTGACCTAGATAGCAAATTTCCTATATCCCATTTCAGGAACGAGGGAACATATTCTCCGTTTCGGGTTTAACTATTGTCGAATGTTCACAAAACCAATACTGCATGGCAAACACACAATTTAACATAACAGTTACCTACATACAATAACCCACAACATGATAAAACGATTTATGCATACATATAGAGATGACTGACATACCAACAATGCGACCACACATCCGGTAACCTTCTCTGGCATACAGTAGAAATCTTTGATCGAACCCATCAGTGTTTGCAATATTGCCCCGGTCCAATCATATGTTTGTATATGATGCAAGTCATCAATATATCGCACAAAGGCCCAACTTATCGTTTCACTTGAATTGGAAAAAAACAATTTCCCACACACATACAGGACCAGCAATTTCATCATGCCCTCTTCGTCCACTCGACTCCAACCACACACAGCTTTTTCAAACAACGTTTTTACCAGCTTCGAGGATATACGAACGGCGTTGTGGCATCTACGTTGTACAAAATCCGATACCGGCCTTTGGCAATGAGACAAATCAAGGCGCCTAATCCCGCATTGTATTCCAAATAACAGCCTTATGTCGCTTCTACCAATTTTCATATACTTCCCACCAACCTTGAATGCATTACACTTTTCATCATATGTCTGAATAATCTTCGATACAAGCTCATCGTACTTTCTAAAACCATTATGATTGGGCCTGTTAACACGGATTGCCTCGATCATTATTCAAAAAGGGGTTCTTCTCAACTGTTTGAAATGACCCGCCCTCAACAGGGACATTGTCACAATCTTCACAATTCCCGCAATATTCGAATGGAAATTAATTTGTGTTATCGCAGTGCGTGGCACAACAACTGCAGCTTTGCCATTTCCTTCGCTGACTGCATTATTAATGACCTTCGTTTGCTTAAACAATATGTGACCCTGCATCTTGTTCACCCCCATGTTGTTCATCTTTGCCCCCCCCGGCCCCATCAATTCGTTTTCGCTTACATGAACGTGTCCACGGGCTTCGTTAAATGTCACTACCTGCAATACAAACAAACAAAAATAAAAAACCCAATCAACATAACACAACACACGTTACCCAACCGTAAAACACACACATTACCACACTACGCGAGACGTCACAACTGTGTAACCAGATAAAGAGACAAACACAACATTACTGCGTCACACAACAGTTCTTCAGGCACATTACAAACCAGATTGGTCCACATACACATACCAAAACACACAACAACATACACACACCAAATCAAGGACCACAAATCCATTTTTTTCCCAATGTATAGTCCAACAACAATTACTGCAACCCAACGCAAGAAAACAAAATCAAATTAGAACATTACGGCTTACACCCACGATTGCGTGCAAGACAACAAACAAAGTACTGTCACACAACCACAGATTCAAACCTATAGACAAACCGTAATCATGAAGAATATACATGACATATAACAGCCAATCACACAACAGTTCGTCACACGCATTACAAACCAGATTGGTCAACATACACATAACAAAAAACACACCAAAGATACATACACCAAAACAAGGACCACAAATTCCATTTGGCCCAAATGTACAATCCAAAAACAACTACTGCACCCCAATGCAAGAAAACAAATTCAAATTAGAACATTACGGTTTACACCCACGATGTCACATAACCACAGATACAAAACCAACAGAGAAACCCTAATCATGACGAACATACATGACGCATAATAACCAATACGTAAAACCGCAAACGACAAACCAAACATGGTAAAACAAATAAATGTGTCATGACGATCATACACACACATCCTAATCGTAAAAACCCCCAAATCTTTTACCCTAACACAAGAAAACATATGAATAATATACATGGATGAGTGATATAGAACTTGTTGCCTTCATCGTTCTAGCAACGACCACTAATAACGACACGCAACAAATCCCTTGTACGGTGTGGTCCCCTTGCAGCACCTTCTCAGAAAACCGAAATCAAAAAGCCGCACCATATCACGACACACGATCCTTTCGTCACTGACTCACATCTAAATCTTGAATCAATGACGACAACCAAGCTCAATTTGGTATCTTTACAGATTTGGGGGGAATCGATAATGTAAATCCCAACAAAATAGGGTTTCAAACAACAACACACATTCAAAGTGGGAACGGCTCATATATGCGTACCCGTTTTCTGCGTGTGTTTACGGGTCGAATTCGGGTAAAAGGATGTCCATTGCTCTGTGTATCACGCACATCTCATTAGCCCATTACAATAAAAACAATAAAAAAAGAATAGAAACCCTTAGTGTACTTTCACACTGTGTGTCACAAAACCACACGCACACCGTTGCACATTCTCATCAAACGCGGGGCTAAAATATCACGTAAAGCACAGCTGTAACACTAATCAACAAAAACCAGTGGCAATTCCATCTTTTTCCAACACAAAGGACCAAATGGATCAGAAGAAAATTTTTGGGACTAAATGGAATACAAGTTCAACATTTAGGATTTATAGGTAACTTTCCCTTTAATTAATAGGATCTATATAATATATATTTTGGTAAATTATATTTTTAAAGATTTTTTTGACATGCTATCTAAAATTCTATTTTTAGAATAATTTTGTTAAAAGATTATTTATATAAAAATATATTATTTAATTGGGATTTTTATTGATAAATTTTATTTAGGAGTGTTCTAATTCAAGAAGTCCATAAAAGAAATTTATAACTCATTTAGTCCTATGTATTTATACATTTATTTCATAAGGTCATTTTTCTTAATTTACACTATTTTCTTAGACTCTTATACTCTTATATCTAATGTTGATATGCATTAACTAGACGCCACTATTTAATGTTGATATACATTACACATAAAAAAAATTAAACATGATTCTTTATTGATTTTCATTATGTTTTCGTAGTTCCTATGCATCTAAATGTTGACTGTATATGATGACGTGAATGCCCACATCAAATGATGTGAATGTTTACACTAAAACATATGAATGTGAATACAAAATGATTTTATATTCAAATAAAAGTTTAGGTTTGTGATTGTGTAATTTGATGTAATATTGGTGTGAACCTTAACACCACCTTTATCACAAAGTTACACAACGTCATTTGATGTGAGCATTCACATTCACGTCATCTGATATGAACATTTACATTCACGTCATCTAATGTACACATTCACGTCATCACGTATAGTCAACATTTGGATACATGGAAACTACCAAAACATAATGATAATCAATAAATAACTATGTTTAATTTTTCGATGGTGTTACATGCACCAATTAGTGTACTAACTAGTGTATCAACTAGTGTTATGACATTATTACTAACCGCATTTATTATACACATTACAAATATCCAAAATCTCTAAAATGATGGCACATCATCTATTAGTACACTAATTAGTACATATAGTATTATTCTTAATTTTTGGTGTATAATATGAGTAATGCTAGGGATACCAAATTTTCTACCAAACAAATGACCAAATGTCTTACATGGGTGTGGGGTCCGCAAATTCGTGAACCTTACACCTATGTGACATATTTGATCATTTATTTAGTAGAAATTTTGGAACTTATAGCATTTTTTGTATAATATATATCAACATTAAATAGTAGTGTGCAGTTAATGTATTTTTTTGAAGCGAAGATCTGGTGAATAAAAATGATTTTATTTTTAAAATGAAAGGAGGGTACTTTGGTTTTATTAGGCTGAATGAGACCTAATAAGATAAATAAAAAATGATTTGATTAAAAACGGGATTTATGAAAAAAAAATTCCTATTTAATCACAGTACATTTTTCACTTATCAATTAATATCTGAGTTCTCATTTCACGCCCAAAACTTCCCCTAAATCTTCGGTTTCAATTTAACCCAATTATATATTTTTATTGCTATTTTGACTTTAGTATCTGAGACTTGTAGTCCGCAGATGATTCTTTGTTTTCTTCACCTTTAATTTAGAAAATTGGGCATTTACCAATCTCTGTTGTTTCTCATCAGTCTTCGTAATACAGAAAAAGGGCAAAAAAAGAGAAAGGAATTGGGAAGAAAAGAGTTGGGTTTTCTTTATTTATTTTTTCTTGTAAAATTTGTATTTTAATGTAATCTATTGATCAAAATTTTAATTCTTGAAGACATTTTTGTGTCTTTCCGTGATATGGGTTTTCAATTTTCCAAGAAAAATTGAAAGTCCATTAACGGATTCATGGGGTTGGAGTGATCACAAGACAATAAAAGAGCTGATTATGGGGAGTTTTCTTGGTGGGTTTGTCTTGCCTTCGCTGCTTTTGGCAGGTATGCTGTGAAGCCACATTTATCTATAATCTGTTTTTCTTTCTTTCTTTCTTTTTTTAAATAGATTTTTTTGGGCAAGATTTTTATTTGTGTTCTTCATTCTCGTGAAGTAAATGAGCCAGTGCTGTATTATGGAATTTCAATCTTTTTAGGTAGCATTTGTAATGACTACTTTCTAGATATATTGGTATAATGTGTTGGACCAATGTTCCTCTTTATTTGCTTTTGAAATTTTGCCAACTTCAGGAAACAAAAGCATTGGTTTCACTGAACTGGCTTTTAGATGTCTATGTCTGACTGTCAAACACATTGTTGAGTTATTCACTGAACTGGTTTTTGGATTAGGAATAATGTATAATATTTTAGACAATACAAATGATGGGTATGGTATTCGGAAGTGCTTGGAACATGTGGAGAATGTAATTTAGATGTTTATGTTTGATTGTAAAACACGTTGTTGAGTTATCCACTGACCTTGTTTTTTGATTAGGAATGATGGGTATAGTTATATTGGAAGTTCATGAAACAAAATCAAATAATACTGACAATACTAGTGATGCTTGCTGATGATAATACTGAATTTGTGGAACTTGAGGGAAATCTAATCTACTTTAAATGTTTATGTGTCTGACTTTAAAAATATCAGTAATAGGTCATTTACTGAACTAGTTCAATGTATACTGGATATTTGCTGAGAGGTTAGGTTTCTGTTAAAAATTAAATTGGGTTGTTCTATGGGATATAGACTTGTAATCCTTCATGGTTTGTGTCAAGAACTGTCGACTGAAATGTAGAAGCACATCTGAAGACCTGCTTCAAGTCATAAAAGCTGATTATTAATTCACTAGCCTTCCATTCCCTGTCCCCCCAAAACCATTGCTGTGTTGTCAATTTTCAGCCCTGATTAAGCTGCAGCAGGGAAACAGTTGAGCTCATCCAGTAACTGATGCAGTTAAAATTAGTGGATGTGTTAGTGGCATCAAAGATGCATAATTTGCACGCTAGTTAGGTGAGGCGGCTTTGGAAAGTGAGTGACTAGAATGATTTTAGAAAATGTGAACAGTAAGTCTTCTCTTAATTAAACAAAGGGACACATTTACTTTAGCCCATGTGGTATGGCTCCGGAGCACTTCCCCACCTGACATTTGAAAATAGCCAAAGACCACTCATGTGGTTTTGGAGTAAAGTGCTACCCTGAATCCGTTACCTTAGCTATGAAAGGGTGTGTATGCCCTATTTGTCTTCTTCTTCTTTTGATTCTTCTTTGCAAAAATTTAACATAATTTTATAATTTAAACCAGTGAAGCAAATATTTTATCTGAATTTCCCTAATTTTTAATTTAATCACATATTAAGCTATATGTGCACTGTGCGTGTATCATATATATACATATACATATAGGGGAGAGGGTGGGGAGGGGGAGGTGACTGGAGGTGGGGGAGGTAACTAGGGGTGGAAGATTTCAGGAACACCCGATTCACGTGCAGGGATGGCTGGTTGGCTGCTTGAAAGCTCCAATATTTATACCAAATAGTCCCCCTCGCCAGGGGTGGAGACAGGGGAGCTGGGGTACATCCAACGGAAGTTTCAACCAACCTTAAGAATCTAAGAAGTAATTCTAATATTTTTTTAGGGTGTTTGGATATTTATTTACTATTAGAATTACTTCTTAGATTCTTAAGGTTGGTTGAAACTTCCGTTGGATGTATGATGGCTTGAGGTCACAGCGAAGCCATTATTTAAAATTTTCTAGAGTGGCCCAATCTTATATTGTTGATCAGATATGGCCCATATGGGCACAAGAACAATGTTCACGTTAATTATCTTTGATGGTTATGAAGTTGATGATTGTTGACAAAAGTGGTGCAAATAGGAAGCTCTTTATGCATATAGAATCCAGTTTTTAATGATGTCACCTGTTTCTTCTCATACAGTTTGTAAGCAAAGCTGCAAAAATGATCACCTTGTCTTTATCTTAAATTACGTTAGTTTTAGTATGACTTGCCGTATATGCCGTATATGAATATATTTCTTGTATCCAAGTGAGCTCTAATTTCCTGAACTGCTGCTGTATTCTTTGCTGAATGCGTAATATATATACGTAGATACATGCTTACACATGAATTGTAACTGAGATAATGATTGCTTTTACCTTCTCTTCTCTTGCAGCTGCTTTGCTGAATTGGAGTTTGATATCTTTTGTTGATTTGGTAGCTTTTCTCCTTATTCGATTCACTGCTCCAAAAAGAGGTAGGCGACTTGTCTATATCTATCTTTTTTGATACCAGCATTGATCATCATTGACTTTCCTATATTATATGATATTAAATTTATGCTTGTGTGATGTTTTCATTATGGGTTTATGGTACAAACACTCCCTTCATTGGGGGGATGAGGGAGGTGTTATTAGTTGAGCAAACACTCACTTAGTGAGCAAATAACATGTGCATTTTTTGATTTTTAGGGTATGTTTGTTGTACGTTTCCATTTATTCTAGATAATTGAATGCAGAAAATTCAGAGGAATACCTGCATCTTTCATTTTCTTCCCCTTCATATTTACTGAATTTATCTCATTTTTATGCCAGACTTCCTTGAAAATCTTTGGTGCCTATCACTATTATATGGTGGATCTATTTTCACTTTTGTGTCATTTTGCCTTAATTCTTGTTTGTGGGAAGGGCTTTTCCAGTAGGCTGATGAATGTATTTAGAAGCTGCAAGGGTGCCTAACCTTTGCATCTCTTGGTCACCGATACCAATAATATTCTAATTGCTGAGCAGCAAAAGGGGAAGAAAAATATGTGGCTAGACGCAGCAGGCTTTTTTCATTAGAAGCAAAGTAAAAGGAAAATGTGCCTGATTTGACTGGTCTTGGTTGTTGTCTTACAGATCACTTTTTTGGTCATCCTTTTTTTTTTTTTTTTTTTTCCTTTTTACCCTTTTTTTTGAGGATCACAGAGAATTACTTCTGATGTGATTCTAGTCACTCTGTGAGACTTATTCATAAGACGCAAAGAAAGGAAAGGGCATAGAATGCTTCAAAACTTCTGGCATCTGCCTGTTTTTGGATGCCTAATGTAGCAGTAAATTATTCTTGCCCTTTATTTTAGTTGCAAGTGTTATGATTATGCAGTTGGAACTTGCAAGATAAAAGGTGCTCAGAATGTGGTGGGCATATGTTTGGTGCTGCTCAATGCTTGCTAATCAAAAGAAAAAAAAAAAATGAAAAAGAAAAGGTTATGGGTTGTTCCTTAGCCAGAGCAACATTAGGAAGTTCTTCAACATCCACCTATTGCTTGAATGGGATGTAGGAATTTCTACTATTTTGATCGGTTGTGTTTGGATCATGGATTTGCTAGGGATTTGGAAAAGGGAAAGGAAAAGGTTGTTATCAGGACATATGATGTGGAGAAACACTTCGATGTTATCACAGAGAGTTCGAAATACACAGGAGAAGGCCAGAGGGAAGTTCAAAGCACCTACCAGACCATGGAAGAAGCCTGAAGATACCCAGATGGGTGTCGGTTTGAGCCGAAAAACTCTAGGATGGGTGTCGGCTGGTCTGAAACCATCCAGAGAAGAGTCAGAAGAGCTTAACAGGCCCTGAACAGCAGCTGGAGGTCTTTTGCTGGAGCCAACAGGGTCTGGAACAGGTTGGGTAGTGACGGATAGTGGTCGGGTGGTGTATTGATGGTGGCTGGTGGCTGTGTGGGTGATGGGTTTAGGGTTTTGACTTTGATACCATGCTTATTTGAGAGAAAACTAACTTAGAGAATGATTAGACAATCACCCCTTTTTATATTGATAATAGGTAGCTTACAATGAAAACCTTGAAGGCACAATAAGGAAATAATAAAATGAGGAAATAACAGCTAATAGAATAAGAAAGTCCTAAGGCACTAATTAACGAATCAAAATATAATCTAAATAAGAAAACAAATAATAGAATGATCCTAACATATATTCTAACAAAGGTGAGGGAAATGGAAACAAAATTTAGCTTCACATTTCCCTCACCTTTTCTTTTCCCTTCCGAATCCCTACTTGAATCCGTGATCTAAATACAACCTTAAGTTCTCATCAGAGATGAAACCCATATATGCACTATCGATTCATCAAGAGCACTACTAGTATGGTACTTTAGAAAGAAGGGTTAAAGTAGGTGGTATGTTACCTAATACATCAATGTTTGTAAATGGTAGGACTGCAAACGAATTGCGTTGTTCATGAACAGCTCGATAGCTCATTTAAAGCTCGGTTCATTGACATTTTCTAAATGAACGAGCTCGAGCCAAACTTTTAGGCTTGTTTAGTAACACACTGGCTTGGCACGAATAGGCTCATGAACACAAGGTTGTATGATTCAAGTTATATTTTTAATAATACATCTATTTCATTTTTAATTCAATTTTGTGTGTGTGTGTGTGTGCGCACGTGCGCGCGCGCGATGTTTGTGCAAATTTACACATTAGATTGATGATTTTTTTAATAACATGAACATCTTTTTATATTTACCCATAACATCTCTTCCATCTCTTAATTTGGATTTAATGTAGTCTTCATATTCCTTGTTTGAACTCGAGCTTGAGCTTGGCTCCTTTATATAAAGTTCAACTCGAACTTGAGTTTACCAAACACTAGATGAGTTGAGCTTGGATATTTGAGCTCGAGTTCACCTAATATTTAGCGAGTGGAGTTCTAACACTCCAAAAATTGGCTCAGCTTGTTTCAGCCCTATTAGTGGTCATATTATGGTACATACTCTCACTGAACTCATTCCTCACTCAGTCCCAGTTCTAAAGTATATTTTTACTTCCATGTACTTTTGTTGTTGTTGTTGCTGCTGCTGGTGGCGGCAGTGGCAAGTGCTTATGGTCTTAGTTAGTGTAAGTCCTATGAAATTTGATTTAGTAATGTGGTGTTTTGTTGTATTTTCATAAATCCTGGATAGTTATGTACTTTCAATATGAGTATTGACAAATTTTATTCACCTTAATATACCACCCTTGTAGTCCCAATTGATTTCTAGGATTAGTGATTCTTGATTTGGCCAACTAAATGCTGAAGTTAGGTTTCAAAAGCTACTGTCAGAATGCTGAAGTTGGTCATTTGTATTTATTTGCTGGTTTCTTTTATGTCCTCTGATATGAAATTGAGTAGGTTAATAGAATTTCTACTGCAACTGATAGCCAAGTTTTGAGCTTTGAGAATGCCTATCTATTAGCACAAACATAAAAGAAATATAGTACAAAGTGCAAGAGGAAATGCCTTTCTAGCGAACAGCATATTAAATCATTGTAAAGACTTGTTATAAAAAAAACATGAAGCAATAAAAAGAAAAATGGAATCATACTTATGTTCCCGATGCAAGTTAAATTCTGAACGAGCGAAGGGCCACATAAGTATGTCGACTATCACCAATTAAAAATTACTGTTTCTTAAAGTTAGACCTCTTTCCCAGGCCTGATAATATTCTTCACCTCAAGTGAGTTCTTAGGTGGCACTTGAAATTAGCTTGTTTGGTTTCATAACTCAGAATTCACTTTTCAAAAAATTGGAATTTTTGTTTTTTGTGTTTTTTTAATTTTTTTAATTGATTTTTTTCATATTTTAAGTAATTTTTTTTAATTTTTAGATACACCTAACATAAATACACTTAAAAAGTATAATATTATTATATTTGTAAAAAAAATCTTTTAAAAAATCACTAAATACCAAAAGTACAAAAAAATACGAAAATTCAGTACGTTTTTCATATTCTTGTGTATTTATTGATTTTTTTAAAGTACTTTTTTTACAAATATTTTACTTTTTAGATACATCTAAGTAAGGTGCATCTAAAAAAGTAAAAAAATTGCTTAAAATTTAAAAAATATTCACTAAAAACAAAAAAAACATGAAAGACAAAAAACTCAATTTTCAAAAAATTAAATTTAGAAAATTGAAACCAAACACAGTTATTATCTTGATGCTTGTAAAATTGTTGCGGTGGCTATCTTTTACAATGCTTCTCCTGTTTGTCATGAATAATTTTAGTTTGCAACTATTTTTATCTTAATTGTACTAACATGTCCTTGATTCTCTGTAGGATTTCGTTTTCGAGGGAGATTTCTGTTATTGTGGTCTATTTTCATATTTTCGCTACTTTTTATTCTTGCACAAGTAATATTTCTTATTTTATGGGCTATTGAGGATGGTAATTGGAGTATGGGAGATGCATGGTGGGCAAAGCTAATTGGATTGATGAAGTAAGGCTCATTTTTAGTTCTATTTCATTCTTTAATTTTTATATTACCTAGAAAATATGGTTACTGTATCCCTTTTGCTTGTCTGTGTTTTTATGCTCAAGCAGGTTTGACTCTTGGAGATCTCCCTTAGTAATCTATTTCTTGCTCGTACAACTATTAGTGGCTTTTGTTGCTTCTGTTGAAATCCGTGGGGACAATTATGGTCTGATTCCACCTCAAGATTCATGTTGGGGATATCTCTCATCCGTCATTGATCAGATTGGTTTGTGACTAGTTTATTGCAGCTTTAGTTTTTGCGAAGTTTATTTGTATTCCTTGTTTCTATTCATTTTCTTTATTCATATGTATATACAATTGCGTCACATAACAATTGAAAATTTGTTAAGCATTTGACATCCTGATTACGCATCCTCTAGCCTTACGTAAGGTGGGGGTGGTGGGAATACAGGGAATTCTTTTGGAAGGATAAAATGCTATGAAGTGCTTCTAGGGTGAGCCATAGGGTCACAAGTTGCATTAGTGTCTTAGATATGGTGGATGGATGGGGTTGAGACATTAGCTGTAGTGGGATCTTAGGGTTGATGGGTGCTAGCTAGGTGGGCAAAGTAACTGGTGTTGTGTTTAGTTTAGCAGTCAATTAATTTTAGACTAAGAAGAGGGAAAATTCTTGTAAGGTTCACAAAATTGGGAGTCCATGGCATAAGAGAGTGGCAAACATAATAATAATAAGAGAACAAAAAATCGGACTTCATTATTAGTTTGTTAGATCTTTAATCACTTGTTACTAGTCTTGTTTTATATTTTGGTTACTAAAGTTGCTGATGGAGAGTAAAGCATTCATACCAATTGCTGAACTAAAAGCATTCATTTTCAGTTGCATCTCATCATAAATTAAATTCTTTTGTGTGTTTTGCCACATGGAAGGTTCTCATCTTAGGGTTGCTTTCTGCTTGCTGTTACCCGCAATTCAACTTCTTTTGGGAATTAGCAACCCCTCTTGGGTTTCTCTGCCATTTTTCATTTGTAGCTGTATTGGTCTTGTGGATTGGTCCTTGACAAGCAATTTTCTTGGCCTTTTCAGGTAATTGCTTTGTGAATCTTATTCTTTGCTTCCAGTAATTAGTGTTTATTTCTTTTAATTTTTCCTTCCTTTTTTATTTTTTGTTTTAATTTTTTTATTGGATAATTAGTGTTTATTTCTTTTAATTTTTCCTTCCTTTTTTTAAATTTTTTGTTTTAATTTTTTTATTGGTCCGCTGCTAGCCTGCTATACTCTTCAGTTGCATATGTTTGACTATATGGTTTTTGAAGGTGGTGGAGGTCTCTTTGGCTATATGCAGGCTTCAACATTTGCCTACTTTATGTGTATCAGCTCCCTATAAGTCTCCCAGAAATATTACGTTGGATTACTGAATTTATTGGTCTCTACAAAATATCTGCTAAATCTGAGTGGCCGGAAATTTGTTGTGGTCTTTCTCTTGTTGTGTTCTACTTCATGGTATGCACATGTTTCTTCAACTCCTGTACCTTGCATTTAGTTCTACACTAGTGTACAAGTTGCTAGGGAAGTGCAAATATGATTATTTTTCATATTTTCGAAATTGAAGTTCTGCAAATCTACTGGGGTTAAATTCTTATTTTATTGGAAAAAAAGTGTCATTTGGATTTAGTTGCTTGTTCGATCTGTTAATTTGGGTGTTAACTTCTTATTTTATTGGAACAAAGTGTCATTTTGGATTTAGTTGCTCATTCGATCTGTTAAGTTGAAACATCCATCAAAAGATCTATATTTCATCCATGTTGAGGTGGGCTTGGAAAAACTAGTTTTCAGTCAAAGTAGTGCAAATAGCCTCTGTTCTTCTTCCGTTAAAGCAATTGAACAAGAACTTTTAATCCAAGCATATTTAATCAGATAAATCAAAGTTAATTAACCAAATAAGTACGAATAATGAAGTAGAGGGAATCACAAGAGACAAGGTTTTAACATGGAAAATCCAAACTCAGGAAAACACAACAAACATCTAGTACAAACTTAAAAGATCCATATGCCAAAGACCCTACCTAGCAGTTTCCTAGTTTTGATGTACTTTTAATTAGCCAATTTTCACTAGCTGCGTCAAATCAAATCCACATGATCACGATGCACGTGCTCTAAATACATATGCAGTAAGAGCCACTAAAGGTGCCTCTTCCAACTTTCACACTTATTAGATTTCTTGTAACCTCTTTCAAGAATATGAAAGATGCTATATGAATATATAAAGCTCTCTCGGATTTCTTATGTTCGCAATGTATGCTATAATATGCTCAGGAAACCCTAACATGTATGCCAAGACTCCAGTATGTAGTAGTAGGAAGACTTAAGTGCACAAGGAATACAAATTTACAAGAATTCTGTTCTTGACATGCTCAGGAACTACCCTATTCAATCGTGCAAGATACTGTTCCAAATAATAATTTGAAACTGACCAATCACGAAGTCCAAAAATAAAACCTACTTGGTCCTAACATCATGTCCACTAGTTAAGGAACAAAATTTGTTTAGTTTCTATCAAAATGGCTAAAACATTTTCGTTTCCTAGGAAACCAAAATGGTAAATTTGTTGAATACTGAAATTCCAATTTTTTCCACCGAAACATACCAAAATACAACCAAACAATATGAAACATACCGAAACAATGAATTGCTTAAACACTTATGAAGAATATCCAACAATGATCATTTGTAACTACCTTTGTTGTCAAAAAAAATATTTTTGAATAAAGAAAACTATAAATTTATTAGAGAATCTGATAAACTAGTTAGGAGAAAAGGCAAGATAGAGAAGAGACGATTAAGTCACTTAGGGCTGGTTTGGCAAATGATTTTTAGTAGTTTTTTTTTCTTTCTTTTTTTTTTAATTTTTTTTAATTTTTTTTATCGACAACAAGAAAGGTATTTTATAAATATATAAAAAGATACAACAAGAGGACAAGAGGTCCTCTACACTAGATCATACAAAATACCAAAAAGGAAAAGGGCAAACGAAGCCCTTAACCCTCCGATCTTTTGAAATAAGAAAAAGTGGAACCCCTTTAAAAGGAGTGGAAACGGATAGTATAAAGTTGTTGCTAAAAAAGCTAAAGCGTTTGGTAAATTCTAAAAAAGTTGATTTTGTTATTGGGAAAATTCAAGCAGGGTTTGGAATTTTTTTTAAATTTTTTTAGATCCTTCTAGAGTAGGACCTGAAAAGTAAAAAAATTTAATAAAATTTTACCAAAGAATAAGATGGGTTGGTTAACCTCTGATCGATGCCTATACATGGTTCTTGTGTCTGTGTTATACATTATCGTTTGCTTGGTTTAAGGATAGTTGTTAATTTTCTTTTATATGATTATATTCAGCTATCTTGCATTAAACGTGATTTGGAGGAAATGGAATTTATTATGTCCATGAGAGAAAGCAACTTGACTGAGCAGCTTCTTCCCTCGAAGCATTCTTTTTTTATTCGAGAGTCAAGGTAATTGACCTGGGACATCTTGTCATTTTGTTTTGTTACTAATTAATCGTTGTGATTATCCATACTTCAATTTTGCCTGAACTGTGTCCACGCCTATGTCTGTTTCAAATATAAATCTTCAAAGCAGAACTTCAATGCCCCATGTCTTGCTTGCTAGCTTGCTGAATTGGTTTGATGATTTGCAGGTCTGGTGTAAGAGATACCAATGTTTTACTAAGGGGATCAGTTTTTCGGACCTTTAGCATCAATTTTTTCACGTATGGTTTCCCGGTACATATTCTTAAACTACATATTGTCATCAATTTTGATTTGTCTCTGCTCTATTTGACCAAACTGAAGGCATGTATGAAGATAATGATGCTGGATATTGATTTGACCTTTAAATGACATATTTTCAGAAGACTAATGAAAACATAGCGAGATTCTCTGCTGCTAATCAACATTGGGGGCTTTTTGGCAGATACCTCTGCTATGGTTACTCCAGGCATAAGAACCTACTCAAGAAATTGAACTTCAATTTGTACATTATATGTAGTCAATGTAGTTGCTAGAAAACATAATTTTTTTTATATTATTATTATTAGTACCTATGTTACACAGGCGCATTGTTCACATGAAAGATATGTATTAGATGCACATAGTGTAGGTATGCGATATCCATCCAATATACTCAATAGGACATGAGCTAATCTGCACCTGCAGGACCCCACCGCCGCAAGTGTGGAACACTCACCAAGGTGTTCCTTTTCCAAATTTGATTCTAAGTCCAGATTTTACATCTACAAGTCCAAAACTCATTCATGGAAAGATATAATCAATAAACAAGGTTTAACACTACATTAACTAGTTTGAATAGGTCCGTGGCAAGGAAGGTGGCAGATTGTCGTTTCAAATTGTGGTGACGACAGGGAAGCGGCATGAACAGATCTTTATATTGATGTCTGCCTTTGGCGATGGCTGGGAGGGGGTGGCTCTAGTTATAGAAGGCTTTGGGATGCATGATGTAAGGGTGACGTAACATGGTGGCTCGAAGAAGATGACTCCTACTTCTGGGCCGACGCTATTGGCCCAATCATTGTTAGTCAGAAAAGGCCGTTCACACTGAGGTGGAGGTTAATTGGTTCCGGCTATTGGATAGATTGTTGGCGGGCACGTTGGCAGGAATGGGTGGCAAGGGCTTGAGTTTTGCTGCTATGGTTAAATGGGTTGATTGCTGGTGGCAACAATCGGGAAAGGTAGAGGTGCGACTGTTGGAGGATAAGGCTTTCCTGTTTGTTCTGGCGACCAGAAGTCAGGTGGAGGCGTTGATGCGATGACAATGGATAGTGGGTAGGTGTGATCTACTGCTGGAATGGCGGTCACCACTAACCTTATGTACTTCGGGGAAGATGTCAAAGCCTGAGAAGAGTGTCTGGATTTGGGTAATGGGTCTGCCTATTCACTTTCATGGGAAAGAGGTGTACCGTGTCATTGGCGATTGATGTGGTGGCTTTGTGGAAGCGGATGAGTCACCGGTGGACCTGAGCTTTGTTCGGCTGCGAGTGAGATGTTTGGAGCACACACCGGCACGAGTCTCACTCCGATAGGGGATGTGGCAGTTCTCGCTACCAGTATGGGTGGAGGCAGACCCGACGGTAAAGCTGGTGTCACTGTCGGTCGAGAGGGATGGTAGATATGGTTTGTACAAGGAAAGGAGAAATCTTTTGCAATCAGATTAAAAATTGATGCGGATTTATGGGGTGAATGATTATCTACACAGATTTAGGATTTGGGGGGACATTGGGTAGCCGGGGCAAACGACCCAATTTTCGAGGGTTGTTGTGGGCCAACTAAGGAGGTATAAGGGGGAACGGTTGGGCCCTGTAGAGGCCCAAGATGCTTGGAAAGGAGAGGTGGGCCCAAAGAGTTGGGTTGGGGTTGAAAAAATGAGGTTTCAAGAGTTGGGCTGTGAGAATCCTGAGGAGGGCAATCCAATTCGTGACTTATGCCTACGGGGTAGCGATGTAGGCCAACATGTATTAACCAAAGCTAACCTAGACCTAACAAATCTGGGGTGGGTTAAAACGACAAAGGATTTGCAAGGGACAATGCACACTCAGTTGATGTCAGTCGGGTGGTAGTGGAAGATGACGACGACTAATGTCGACGGTTAGAGATGAAGTTGGGGTTGGAGCTGGTGGTTCATCGAGATTCTACTGTTGATGGGTTTGGATTGAGGTTGGTGTCTGATGTTGACGGGGCTAGCTCACAGTCGGAGAGCTTGGATGCTGCAGGTGGAGAGGATTATCCAGAAACGGAGACGCCTGGAGGTGCTTGCTGGGTCGACAGTGATGGGCAAGGGAAGGATAGTGGTGATAAGACGTTGCCAATGGTGCTGCTTCGTCTAGCGGTGGAGGCTGGCCTATCGGAAAAGATTCTGAGGCAGAACCGAACCACAGTTGATGCCAAGAATGGGCTGAATGGGGATGAGGTGCTGTCGGCTGAGGCAATGTCAAAGTGGGTGCTTGAACGCATCAGTGAAGTTAGTAGGTGCCTGGGGTTGTCTTTTGCAGGCCACGAAGTTGAGGCTCTACAATTGTTTTCAACAGTGGAGGCATTGCGGCGGGAAGGGGCTCCTAACAAGGGGATCGTCACGCCTTTCGCTTATTGTAATCAAAATCGGGGGCTTGGGAACCTGGAATGTTCTGTTAATTATGACCATGGAGCGAAAAATGTAGGACGGGGTGTTAGAGGAGATCACAGGGGACCGTTGTTTTTGAAATGAAGTTAAAAATACTATCATGGAATGTGCAGGGTTTAAATGATACGGATAAACGGGTGGCGGTGATGGCAGTGTTGCGAAATGCAAAAGTTGATGTTGTATGTTTACAAGAAACAAAGATGGAAGTGTTGAGGATGGAGGTGATTCGGGAAGTTGGGGGGGGGGAGATTTGTGGTGTGGACATATTTGCTGACGTTAGGAATAACTGGTGGGGTTCTTCTTTGTTGGGACAAGAGGGTAATGGTTAAGGAGGAGGAGGAGGAGGAGGTCGAGGGTTTTTCAATGTCTTGTTTATTCCAATGTATGGAGGACAACTTCCAGTGTGGTTTCACTAGGGTGTACGGCCCAGTACAGACTTTAGAACAGGGAATGTTCATGGAGGAGCTGGAGAATATTGCATTTCGGTTGAATGTCCCATGGTGTGTGGGGGGGACTTTAATGTTGCCGGGTGGCTATCAGAGAAGGTGAGGAATACTCGGGTGTCAGGCTCAATGCGGCTTTTTGTTCCTTTATAGACAATTTGCAGCTGGTTGATTTACCTATTCAGGAGGAAAGCTTCACCTGGTCAAATGGGCAGAGCTTGTCTCGAATTGATCAATTTTTGGTTACTGGGAGTTGAAAGGAGCATTTTTCGGGAGTTGTTTAGATCCGGCTCCCTCGGTCAGTGTTTGACCATTGGCCTATTGTGCTTGATAGTGGGGGGAGTCGTTGTGGTCCAATGCCGTTTCGCTTTGAGAATATGTTGCTGCAAACGGAAGGCTTCATAGAATTGGTTCGCTGCTGGTGGAGTAATTATGTGTGTTCTAGTTCTTAGTTGTGTGTTGGCTCATAAATTGAAAATGCTCAAGGAAGATTTGAAAAAGTGGAATAAGGAGGTGTTTGGCCGGTTAAAGGGCCAAAATGTGGAGGTGGTGTCCTTAATCCAATCCTTAGATGAGCTTAGAGGTCCAAGGGGGGTTGTCTAGTGAGGATGTTGTCAGAAAGGAGGCGGCCAGACAAGACTTTGTCCGTATTGCCCAATTGGAAGAGGTGTATTTTAGACAGAAATCTAGATGTTTGTGGTTGAAGGAGGGGGATCGGAATACAAAATTTTTTCATCGGATGGCGAATGCATATCGTCGAGCCAATCAGATCAATAGGATATGGGTGGGTGGCCGAGATTTGGACACGGATGAGGAGATCAGGGAAGGGGTTGTGGGCTTCTATCAGCATTTGTTTTGACCCCAAGAAGGGGCGTGGTAGTCGGGTTTGGATGGGGTTCAGTTTGATAGGATAGTAGGAGAGGATAGGGTGATGTTGGAGCGTGCTTTTACGGAGGAGGAGGTGTTTGGGGCGCTATGGGCCATGAATGGTGACAAAGCCCCAAGTCCATATGGTTTTACTATGGCTTTCTTCCAGTACTGCTGGAGTGTGGTTAAAGCGGATGTGATGGCAACTTTGGACGCTTTTTTTTTGTATCTGGGTAGTTTGAGAAAAGTTTAAATGTGATATTTTTGGCTTTAATTCCTAAGAAAGGGGGACCGGAGGATGTCCGTGACTTTCGGCCTATTAGTTTGTTGGGAAGTGTGTACAAATTATTGGCTAAGGTGCTAACAAATGGACTTAGAGAAGTTCTGCAGGATATTGTGTCTGAGTCTTAGAATGCGTTTGTTGGGGGTAGATAGATTTTGGATACAATTTTGGTTGCCAATGAATGTGTGGATTCGCGGCTTCATCAAGGGCGTTTTGGTTTGATTTTCAAATTGGATATTGAAAAGGCATATGACAATGTTAGTTGGGAGTTTTCGTTGTATGTGCTGGATCGTATGGGCTTTGGGGAGATTTGGCGCCAATGGATCTTGTTTTGTGTCTCAACTGTGAGGATGTCTATCCTGATTAATGGGACTCCAGCGGGGTTTTTTCCGACATATTGAGGTCTTCGGCAAGGGGATCCTTTGTCTCCTCTGTTATTCATTTTAATGATGGAGACGTTGAATAGATTGTTAGATAAAGCAGTGTGGGAGGGCCTTTTGGAAGGTTTTACTGTGGGATCATTGTTTGGGGCGACTATTGGTGTGTCTCATCTGCTATATGCGGATAATGCATTGATTTTCTGTTGTGCAGAGGAGGAGCAAGTGGGGTATCTAAGATGTGTTTTGCTTTGTTTTGAGGCGGTGTCGGGCCTCCGAGTTAATTTGTGGAAGTCAGAGCTTATCCTAGTTGGGGAGGTTATTAGGTTGCCAGCTCTAGCAAAGATCTTGGGTTGTAAGGTTTTGAGTTTGCCAGTATCATATTTGGATTTGCCGTTAGGGGCTTCATTCAAGGTAAATGGGGTGTGGAAAGGCATGGTGGAACGTGTTCAGCGTCGTTTGGCGGGGTGGAAGAAGCAATATCTTTCAAAAAGGGGGAGATTAATGTTGATTAAGAGCGTGTTGAGTAGCATTCCGACCTACTTCATGTTTGTGCATGTTATTCTAGTATCGGTGGCGCAATGGTTAGAGAAGTTTCAAAGGGATTTTCTGTGGGGTTG